AACTATAAAGCTGTTATACACAAACAGGAAGTCAGTTACAAAAAATGGCAATCGACAGCATCCACACAGCTAATATTAAAAGAACTACTCAATTTTCAGGTAAAATCAATATTGACGATTACAACACTAATGACATTTCTGATGTTGAGAAATGGAACCCTGATGGTGGAAAACGTTGATGGTGCAAACGGTTTTGCTAAAATTTCTCTTGAAGGGGCAGAGTTAAAAGTCAATTACATCACAATACTACATATTATCAACCCGTAAGAAATTATTAAAGTTACTGAAACTCTTGAACATAATATCGAACAAATTACAGACAATGAGGAAAAACATTCTTTAATACAAGAATTAGTAACTATTAACCCACATAGACAACGAAGAGGATTAATCAATATCATAGGATCGGGTATGAAATGGCTAAGTGGTACAATGGACGATAGCGACAGAGAAGAAATAGAACAATATCTGCAAACAAGAGACGAGAATAACCATGCAATATAGAAAATTCAAATCAAAATATAGAAATAAATAATGTATTTAATGTAACAATTGCAAAACTTAAAGAAGCTATAGATAAAGATAGGGAAAATTCACAAGAAAATTTAATGAAATTGCTGCAAGTGATCAACAACTAGAAAGGAAAATAATGTATCTTTATACTCTGTTAAAAATTAAAATTTTATTAGACAATGTTGAACACATACAAAACAAACCTTGTGGCTACAAAAATGAATATAATGCATAACACCAAAAAATAGTCCGTTAAAATATAGATTTATATAAAATACAAAATATGAAAGTTAGCACAGCATAATATAAAAATAATGAAATAATTTTTGTTATACAAATACCAARTGAAATAATTAATAATTAAGGTAATGCTTTAATCACGTTTAATAATTGTAAAATAGAAATAAGTGGAATAATCTTTTACAGCTATAATAACGAACTACATGAAAGTTTCACAATGCCTAGAGCTTTCTTCATTAATAATACAAAAACTCAGTTAACGTTTGATGAACTCATTGCAAACCAGATTAAAAATATAGAAAAAATTGAAGAACTTAGATTTCATAAAAAAAATCAATTACATTTGTAACGGCCTTGCTTTAACTTTTATAACAATACTCACATTTCTTTATTATTACAAAAAAGGTAAAAATAACAAAAGAGAATTTATCATAAAAACTCAGGAGAGTTTTCAGTCAAATGGGGGAAGAGTTATGTCAACTTCCCATTCTAATGAGTCGTTCAACTCGCTTCCAATAAATTGGGGCAAATGATAAACAAACAGTTTCAGTTGTTTACACAACGAAACTGCAGACCGATTAAACTTATTGATTTTCRAATTTACAAACTCAGTTCTTTGCTTGCACGCAACTTTGTGCAATAACCAAATTCATTTTGTTTTTTATACAACAACTAAATTCATTGATCACTGCAATAGTAATTCGATACTTTCATTTTTGTTTATTTTAATAATTTTGTGCAACGATTGGTTACGTTGACTTAATCGACTTTACAATAATATGTATGAGTTCAACTAACGTTGTGCTGAGTCCACAGTCGTAAATTTAAGAAATATATAAATATAAGTAATTTTTAAAGAACTTTGGTTAGTTCTTAAGCAGCAACCGAACTGTTAGTCCAGCCATTTAAGCTTAAATTAGGAAATTTAGGGCGTCAATATAGAATATTTACAGACTTACAGCTGGGTATCTCGAATTCCGAGRTGAACTTACTATAATGACTGGACTATGTAAGTTACACAATAAATACACAATAAATTAAATTTAATATTTTTTTGGCTCGTTGCGAGGTAAGCAGTCTGTTTTCTCTCCGCTGCGACACGGCACTTCCCGTGGGCCACTGGTTCGATTGCAGCTGTACGTAAGGAGTAAGAAATGCCGTCCCACAGTTCCCTAATACCGAGTTGTTGACGAGAGCTCTCAGAGAGCAGGAGTGCAAGTCGAGTATAAAATCGTTCGGCTGTATGTTGTGATTGCAGCTTCCTTGTGTTTGTTGACGTGCGGTTTTTTCTGCTCAGAGTAGGGTGCGAATCTTGACCGCAACAAGATAGTGGTCCGAGTCGATGTTAGCACCTACGAGCGTACGCACGTCTAAACATTGTAGACGTGTCTTCCGTCTATCGATCTGTTGGTGGCTTTTTGAACCGGAGGCAGCCAGGTAGCTTAATGTATTTTTTTGTGTTCGGGTCCCGAACCGAGCGCACAACCCTATGTAGGGGATGTTTCGCCTTCTCATCTTAGCTCACCCCTCAAGGGGCTTAAGTAAGAGTAAAGTGTGCATCCCAAAGGAATCGCACTCTAATCTTACGAACTAAGTGATATGAATGAATAAACCCTAGGTTTTCTCTGGAATTAGATTCAGAAGTAGAGAAGTTGGAAAAAAATCTTAACCACAACTTTCAATAAATCTACTCCGCCAACAGTTTTGAAAAAGAGAAAGTCTCACCCTTGGTGGAACAGTGAACTCAAGAATTTGAGAACACAACTAAGGAAAGCTTTCAATGAAAGTCTTAGAACCAAAATCTRGCAGCCATATAAAYATATTATGAAAAGATACAAGAAGGTAGTCAGGAAAACTAAAATCGACTCATGGCGATCTTTCTGCATATCGATAGAAAGTTGCAGAGAAACCGCTAGACTAAGCAAAATGCTATCCAAAGGTCATACTAATACCGCCTGCATTAGGGCAGTGGGGAGTGATTGGACCTCCTCGACAAAAGAGTATCTGGAGATACTAATTACAACGCACTGCCCCGAGGGTTAGCAAGCACCTTCAACGATGGTTCAAACAGAACCCCAGTTGAACGCAGCTGATTATCGAAGCCAAATAGTAGACAAAAGCAAAATCAAATATGCCATAAATAGTTTTGCACCATTTAAAGCGGCGGGTCCTTACGGGATTATGCCCATAATGCTGCAAAACCGGTAGAACCAATGGTTCAAAAGCTTGAAAATATATACAAAGCTAGCATTCAACTATCTTACATCCCAAGAAGTGTGAAAAGAAGTAAAGTTGTGTTCCTTCCGAAACCAGGTAGAAGAATATACGAGAATGCCAAGGATTTTATACCTATAAGCCGTACCTCCTTTATGCTAAAGGTACTGGAGAGGCTAATAGATCTACACGTAAGAACAATAATGGCGAAGAAGTTATCGAAGTCCCAACATGCATACATAAAGGGCCGATCACCAGAAACTGCCCTTCACGAGGTGATAAGTGTAATTGAGAAATCACTACACCACAAACAATACACCATGGCTGCCTTTCTAGACATAGAGGGCGCCTTAAATAACACGGAAGTAAAATCTATAATTAATTCTCGCCACGTGGTAGCATAGATGGCACTGTGTGCAGATGGATACTATCGATGCTTGAGAATAGGAAGATTATAGCTTCAAATTGCGCTGCAACACAAACAAGTTATGTGAGTAGAGGGACGCCTCAAGGTGGGTCCTCTCTCAGCTTTTATGGGTTGTAGCGCTGAACGAAATACTACTCCAACTAAACGGTGGAGGAGTGAAAGCAGTATCGTATGTTGRCGATATAGTGTTGTTGGTATCAGGCATGTTTTCTTCAACAGTCAGCGAGATTATGGAAAGAGCACTTCGAAGGTTAAACGTACAATAAATATAGAAAAAAGAATAAACAAAACATACATGACCTACTTTACTTGTAAGAAAATCGTCAAAGAGAATTGGGGCCTCAAACCAAGTATAATCATGTGGATATATACGACTGTGATAAGACCTATACTTACATATGGAGCTCTGGTATGATAGCCAGCGCTAAACAAACAATACAACATTTAAAAATTAAATGGAATACAAAGAGCAGCATGTGCGGGTGTTACTGGTGCAATCAGGTCACGTCCGACTGATGCGCTCAATGTGATCCTACCGATGGACATTTTTATTCACAAAACAGCGGCTATTGCGGCGATAAGAATAAAAGAATTGGGAGGCTGGAATCAGCAGAACTACGGGCATAGTGTAATGCTAAACAAGCTCACAATTAATAAATCAGACTACATTCTCCCAAAGCTGGACTTAAATAGACACTTCCAGGTGAGGATACCCTCTAGACGAGAATGGAGAAGAGGTTCAATAGGAGAGGAGGGTACCATCTCAGTCTAGGGGGAATCCTCCGCTGATCTAGGCATATCTGTCTCTATACGTCTACCGAACTGGGCTAGCATCTTCCAAGGAGAAGTACTAGGCATAGAAAAAGCCTGTGAAGTTCTATTAGAAAACCTCGGCCATTTGGGCACATTAAGTGCTAATTGAGGCCGATAGGGCTGCACTCCTACCTATCTACCTATCTTAGCTCGCCTGCAAACGGATGTTTTTAGGCTACCCAGAGGATTCTTGCTCAAAGACCCGATGTTATGAACTGCTGGAGCCATATCTAGAATAATTGTTACTGGCCACTCCCAAGTGAAYGGCGATCAGAAAACTTTCCTCCCTTGCGTGAACTTCTACACATGACTCCATCCTATCACTATCTTACTGGTGGATGTAAATATTAAAACATTTACAGTTCGATTCGGCTTTATTCCCGTCGTCGTTATCGTTTTTAAACAAATTAAGAATAGGTATACGGCATTCCTGTTTGTATTATCGACATTTATCGAAAAAAACTCGTATTCCCTGTTTTGAAACGGGTATGGCAGAGATAAAGAAATACCCAACTCTAGTGTCACTGTAAATGTGAGAACCGCTCACCTACCGAACTTTGACAGCTGACTGGGTTGGGTAGATTTTGACGTTGTTGGAATCTCTTAAACGGCCAGATTGAAATTATACCAAAAATATATGTGAACGGAGGGATTTGTAAAACAATGACAGTCAGAGAAAATGCGAAATTTAAATATATTTCATGAAACGTTTTGCAATTTGATGCATAGTAGAATTAATTTTCAATTACAAATGATTAAAAACATTTAGTAATTAACTAACAGGCTTAATTCACCTTATTAAGTAGTGAAATATCAAAAGTCATCATAAAATCATAAAAAAGGATTTAAATAGTTTCGCCATATATTAATAGTCCAATATATAATAATATATATAATAATTTGCAATCGTAATAAATGATGGGTGTTTTAATCTAAATGCCCAAAAATTCTTATTTTGAGGCGCTCTCACACTGGAATAAGTTGTTCATCCTATTATCCCTGGAGTATGGTAACGCTTTGGTAACAATTGTTCCTATCCAACTTATCACTGTTTGAGAGTGCCTGAAATTCGAATTTTTATATAATTTTCTAGTATAGCCAGTTCGGACAGAATAATAATTTTTGGAAGTTTAATTAAAACACCCAACATTTACAACTTTTAAAATTTCTATATAGTTGCCGTTTAATGTATAAATAAACTTAATAAAGGCGATTAAGGTCCTTAGGTCTGACTGTCAAAAAAAAAAAACAATGATTGTCGTTGTTTTTTTTTTTTAAATATTGACATTAACTATTCGGTCCAGTTTATTTTTAATAAATAAATAAATACTTTCATGATGAATACAAAATATTTTTTTATATATTTTTTGTTGAGATTCCGCTTTATATAAAAGTATTTTAACAAGAAAAGAAAAGAACAGTTAAAGTGAAAAAATCATAGACTTGTTCGTTTTTGTACATTTCTGGTTAGTATGCATGTTTGCTGTTACAGAGTCGCATTGTTACAGAGTCGCATTGGAAACGGACTTATTTTCAACACCCTTCCTCAATGTGATTCTGATT